AAAAGATGCATTTCATCTCATACCATATTGCATTTGTACTAAATCAGATTTACTTAGAAAAATACCAAAAGACCTTTTGAAGACATTGAGAATTTGTTCAATTTAAGTGAACTTCAAGTTGATAAACTGAGGTTCACACAGATTAATGAAAAAAAAAAGTCCAAGATGTTTCCCAGGATCAAACTGTTATTTTTAAAGACCTAATTTATTGATTTAAAAAACAATCTGACCACAATAAATCACTAATATTTTATCATATTTCATAGCAAAATGCTGTAAAATCTCTACAAAATGTTCTAGCAATAGCAGTAACAAGTGAGTTATTGAATTGAAACAACACCTATTCAAGCAAAAAAAAAACTAAAATAATATTTCAAGAGAAATTCTATATGATTACATGTTAGTGAACAAAATATTAATGAATTATAATACAGTCCTTTATGTGCATTTCAGTTTTGCAACAAGTCATAAAGCCTTGCTCTTTCTCCTAAGTACTGTGCTTTGCTTTGGCCAGAGTTAAAAACTATTCTAGTATGCAACCAAAACTAAATAATTTTTATTGAACATATTATTTCGACTTGCTAAAAGGACAAGTAAACTTGTACAAGATTTGCTATTGAACATATATATTACTACACATGACCATGTCAACTAAGCAAAGATTCACTCATATATTGTTAGCCTGGAGCACAGAAAGTTACCTAAAAGTAACTGCGAAAGAAATAATTTACTTTGAGACTGATAAAGTGAACTCTGATAAGCAATATCCATAAGTTATACTTCTTTCCATCTGCTCATTTTATCACAATATTGATCTAACCCTTGCCTACTGACATTTATTTTTTACCATTTATATAGTGTGACATGTAAGGTTTGTAGTTGCTGATTAATCTCTCTCTCCCTCATTCTTCTTCTTATTAATTAACATTTTCTTTAAAACAATGTTCTGGAGCAGCTTGGACTTGGTGTCAGGCTTGAGCTGGAACCTCTTTCAAAACGAGAACTCCCATGTGATTCCCAATGCGTGGTGAAGAACCTTTTGGAGGCCAGGGAAGCTATAGAATCAGCCTCAGCTTTGAACAACTAAGAATTGCAGGGTGAGCTGTCACTAACATCTCTCAAGAACAATGATTGCCTTGTCAAAATCATCAGGCAAATGCATGACAGAAAACTGGTACTGACTGGTAAAACCGATAAACTGTGGCTTTACTACATGCCAGTGGTGGACATAATGAAATGTTTCCTGAAAGCAGAAAGAATGGGAAACTGGCTTTTGCATTTAGCTGCTGCACAAGAGATGCTGCCATATTTAGTCGCTGCTGGACACAACCTTTACACAAAATTTGCTTATCACTACCTTCAAGGATGGACGCCATGTTTTTGATGTAGCCACAAATACTGGGCTGACTTTTCATTTGACTTAACTACTGAGCAGACTCTGATGCAAAGTGTGAAATCAACTGGGGGATTAACATGTGGAACAGGAAAGTCACAGTATACCAGCATGTACACAAATGAACAATGTGATGCAAGAAGTCACTGGAACACATTGACATACAAGTAACCAATGCATATAGATGGGACCCACAAGAATGTCAAAGGACACCGATGAAATGATGTCTATTCTTTCATACCTCCGTGGAAGGAACCCACTTACTGGAAGCCCCACGCTAAAAAACATCGTGACTGGTGTTGTTGGTGATGAATCTGCAAGTGAAAATTATCTCTAGTAATTTCATTGCTAGGAGCTGACTTAGAAACTAGATGAAACAAAGTGAATAGTACTGTCTTTCTTTTTTCAGTATGGATGAAGAAGTTCCAAAGTAAATCACCTGAGAGTTTCTTCAAATCTTTTCACACCTATTTCCTATGTTTATTCTACTGTTAGTGGCTGAAGTAGAAAAATGCCAAAAATAAAGCAATTTACCACTGCTCCTTACTTAGTTTGACACTGTCAATTCATAAACTTTGCCATTAATTTGGAGGGTTTAGCTATGGGTTCTCCTTTATCTCCATTATTATGTGTTTTATTTATGGACAGTTTTGAAAGTGAAGCACTAGAAAAAGCAGATAAAAAACCTGAAGTTTGGTTAAGGTATGTGGAGGACACATTTTTGATTTGGCAGTATGGTAAAGATGAACTAGCTAAATTTGTTAATTACCTTAATAACACTGATAATTCTATAAGATTTAATTATGAAATTGAGATAAATGGTTGTTGACCTTTTTTGGATGTTTTAGTGAGTAAAAATAAGGATAAATTGGAAACTACCATTTATCGTAAACCTTTCTCTGTAATCATTCCGCCACATCAACATTCTTGTCACACTATCTCTCAAAAAACCTGTGTTTGTTACCCTTATGTGGACAGGATATTAAAATTATGTTGTTAACAGGATGATATCAATAATGAGTTATTGTTAATTAAGCACATAGCAGTGTAAAGAGGTTTTAATCCAGATGTTGTTGACAGAGCTGTCATAAAACTAAAAAACAGGGATAAAAATATTAAGTTAAGACCATTTGCTGAAAAAAGTAAGAAAGTATGTTTAGTACTAACATATATATACCTGATTTATCTTGTCAAGTAACGAAAAAATTTAAAAAACAAATATTTTTACAATATACAAACTGATACACAAAATCAGTGAAATTCTTAATACAACTAAAGATAAAATTGATTTAATGGAAAAATTTGGCATATATAAAATATTATGTGAATGTAAAAAAGTTTATATAGAACAAACTAGAAGAAATTTAAAATTCAGACTGAATGAACATAAAAGAAATGTTAAAAATAATAATATTACTCTTTTACCTTTTGCAGAACATGTTAGAGAAACTAATCATACAATTGAATGGAAAAAATTATTATTTTAGCACAACCTGTAAATTGAATTGGTATGAATATACATAAATCTATTGAGATAAATAAATGTAAAAAGAGTAAATTTAAATAACTGATGATGGACCTGATGGAAATGTTGTCAGCAGATGCCATGAAATTCTTTAATATGTAAATTGGTGTTTTGATAATTGTATAAATAAGTGTTATTTTTTTGCAAAACATTACACTCCTGAGGATGACACAATAGTATACATTGAAACATGTAGAGTGTACGAGATTGTTTTACAGTTTCATTGGTTTTTTTTACCACTTTTTATCCTGTTCAGTAAGTTATTGTATTTTAGTAATTTGGAGACTGGAAACAATCTCATTTTTTTAGAATTGTGTATAATCATTGTTTTTTAAAAAATTGTAATTTTAAAGATTGAACATTACACACGTGCCAAAAAAATATTGATGTTCATTGTTTGAATATGATAAACAAAAATGATATTTAGTGAAGATTTGAGTCATCACAATATTTTAAACTTGACTGACTTTAAGGTAATTTTAGCTTCTTTGATGAACAATAAGAAAAACAAAAAACACTCAATGTTACAAACACTGCAACTCATGAAAACTAGTAAAAAAATACCATAATTCTAAAAAAAAAAAAAAACATCAACAAGATATCTTTATCAAGCCTTAAATAATCTCCCATTGTTTCATACTCTATATTTGTTCCTATGTCTAGCAAAACTACTTTAACTCTCTCAACACAGGTTCGGTCGAATTGACCAACCACGTAACCTCTCTGTACTCATATAAATTCTTCTAACTTTTAATATAGTATTTATATCTCACAAAATTTGGCAGTCTTTAAGTAAACATTATACTTTCACATACAAAAATATCCTCTTTTGTGAAGCATTTTTAATAAATTATATTCATGGACGTATCGTTTTTTAGAGTATTTGCTTTGAATAGTCAGTGTGCAAAGTGATTTTCATGTAAAGATTAAAAATACTTTCCTTCATTTCTAAAATCTGATATTTGATTTGCATAATCTCTAAAACCTTTTAAATACATTTCAAGTGTTTGTGTTCAGTAAAACTTTATATTTTATCTGGTACTTCCTCCACCCTAACTCTATACAAATTTGGTCAATTTGACCAACCTCATAACCACACACACACACACACACACACAACACACAAAAATTAAAATAAATTTAAATTAGCCTTTTTTTCTTTCTAGAATGATTTCAAATTGTAACATGAAACTACATTTGTGTATCATAAATAGCTTCAAACTTGTAACAGTATACACCTATTTATAATCAACTTTTATTGTCATTTGATTGCCTTTTGAACTGTATCTAACTACTTTCGCTCCGTTATAAGTTGTAAATCACTTGGGGAACGTGGAGCTCACGTTATGCTATTGAATTATATTACCCATAAGTTGCTTGTGTGCATGCCTCATGAAACATATTTATTATATTATTATTAATTTTACCTAATCTAACCTTAACTAACATAAAGAGATCCCTAATTTTACATTTTAGTAACTTTTATAATAATTACTTTTATAAACATGAAATAAACTACTCACCCAAATCTTTTTTCTTGCTGTTGATTGTCGAGGACATTTAACCCTACTTTTGTTTTTAATACTAATGGTAGAAATGCATTCAATTATTTTTATTTAATCAAATAATCCACAAAATAACATAGAATAGTATCATGCAAAGAGTAGACAATTTTCCCTAACTATCACAATTTTTCTAGCATTCCAACTATGCAACAAGAGCCGTAACAAAATCATCCGAACTAGTCGGTGTCTTTCTCATGGGAATGAAGCTTGTACTAACAGTGAAACTGGTAATTATTCATTCAGAAAACCTTGCCCTTCTAGAGGTTATAGTTAATATAGAAATAAACGTAAGAGAGAACTATTAAGAAATCCTGAAAGAGAGGATATGTAAGGTGGGTGTGTCAAGAGGGGGGTCTGATTTTTTATTTGATGGCTTTGTAACCAAACAAAATTGACGGCTATAAAAAAGTTAATTTGTCTGTACAATGAGGATTTTATAGTGAGCAATTTACGTTGAATTTTGTAATTATTGGAGGGATGGCGGATAAAATAGAGAAGAGGAGATGCCTGGAGAAAATGTGTCACACTAGGGGAAATTCAGGATTTTTTTAAATATTGTCTTATAAAATTAAGAACTTAAAACTTATATTCTATTAAAAGAGGGATTATTAGCTAAGATATAACATAAACCAAAAGTAGATTAATAAAATTTTGAATGTAAGTCATTAAAACCTCGTGACATGTGCAGTAAAGAATGCATATCATGATAAGGTTAACAGTTTCAGCATGGGCTCAGTCCCTGGGACCGACTTTGTAACCATTTTGTGCTTGTTATAGTCCATGAAATTTGGCAGATTATTAGTAAATATTACAAGGCTTTCATATGCAAAATATCAGATTCTTTTATTAAGTCTTAAGGTTTGTTAAGCAATGTTTTTCTCCTGCCTTTTATCTTTTTGTATGTTGCCTATCCAACACGCAAAGTAATTTTCATTATAAGATTAAAAAAATTTCAAATTTCACATGCAAAATATTTATAATGTCTAGATAGTTACTAAATGTTCCTTAAGAAAAATCTTTATATTTTATCTGTTATTTTCACTAATGAATCTCTGTACAAATTCAGTAGATTTGACCAATCTCCTAACCACCATAAAGAACTAGGAAATAAATTATGCTTTTTTCATTCTAGAATGACTACAAATTATAACACAAATGTTTTGACTAAATAGCTTAAATCTCATAATATTATACATTTATATATATTTATTATATTGACCTTTCAGCCATACCTGGCTAACAATACAGAAGTTACAATGACAAGGCACACATGCTCTCATGTTACCATATCCAATAATATAAAACTGACCTTTAGTCTTTACAAAGTGACCTGTCTTGGCTGTGTTTTAGTGAACTAGTATTTTGTAAAATACAGTCAGGTTTCAATTCTCATACATGATATATGTATGTACATTATTACTATTTACAAATCAGTTCTTAAACTTATTTTTCTTAAAACATAGAACAGTAAATAAAGTAAAGCAAACAATTATCTCTTCTAGCTATGACCTTTATGAATATATATATTCATCATTTTTATTTTATTGACTTTTCAGCTGTCTCTGATAAACATTATAAAAGTTGCAATGACATGGCACATGTGCACTCATGTTACTGTATCCAATAGTATAAAACTGGCCTTTACAAAGTGACCTGTCTTGACTTTGTTCTAGTAGACCAGTATTTTGTAAAATACAAATACATTTTGGTTACAATACATTACATATGTATATATGTTATTACTATTTACAAATAAGTTCTTAAATTTAAATTATTTTTCTTAAAACATAGAACAGTATATAGAGAAGTATAGAAAACAATGGTCTCTTCTACTTTTGAACTTTGTACTTGTTTGCTATTTGCCATAATTTTCTTAGCCTTGTCAAGTTTTGCACATGGAGGATGTAAAACAAACTAATTTTTTTTAGGTTTTATATATGCATTTCGAAATAAAATAAAATCATAAACTACTATATCAATACCGCATAAATCCATTAAAGTTTATCAGGCTTAGTAACTAAGCTGTATTTGGGTATAAAAAATATAATATTTTGAACAACATTTTCACTTACCCCTTCCTTCCCAGGTTCGAGACAAAAAGAAAAATTCTTGGGAACTGTCCACCTTCAAGAGCCAGAAAACCACATGGGGAAATTCTGAGCTTTTGAATGGTTATAAAGCCACAAAGGTATGAAATCAGTGTATGTAAGGAAGTATTTCCAAAAATGGAAGAAGTAGTTGGGGCAACTCTGTTTGATTTGCTACATATAGTGATATCACAGCAAATAGAATATAGAGGTCCTTATTTTATATTCTAGCTTGTCAATAGTGGTAATTTGAACCAAAGCTGCGTTCAACATATCATGTGACATAAGAAAAATTATATTTAGGAATTTGTTTTTTATATTTACTTTTAAATTAAGAAATCAACTAATGTATAATACTAAAATTTGATTTATAATCTACAGTTTGATACCAAAATTATAGACATTCATAAAATTGTTGTTCAATTAAAGTTTGAAAGCCTACAAATGTAATGACATGCCCTTTCACACCTGAAAATAGGAAGACATGTAATGAGAGGGTTAACTGAATTAGGTGACAAATCCTACACTAGTAACAGCCAAATAAGGTTTGCAAAGATTTCTGTGCTTTATTTTCTTCCAAAGAAATCAGAAAAATTTATGTGAGCTTTCTGCCTTTTTTCCTTTCTTGTTGTAGAATGTTTATTATACTTTCACATTTAAGTCATAACTTTATGTCTTTAAGAAATGCTCAAAAACTTTTCTGACAGTTGATTATGAAAGTCAATAATATTATAGAAAAAGGAAAAAGTATTTTACATATTCCTTTATTTGATGAAAATATGAAAAAAACCAGCATCAAAAAGTAATGTGTCTTTTTTAACTAAAAATCCAATTTTCAATTTTTGATAATGCAATTACGGTTTAGCAATCATACCGTTCTCTCTTGTTAGCCATTGGAAGGATAATACACTGAAAGTGTGAATATCCCAGTGCATACACACACTACTAGAAGAGATGCACACACTACTCAATATTGAAAAACTATTCAAACCTAGAGTACACAAATGTATCACAATATAAAAATGTCTACAACAATAATACAAATAAGTACACATACTAAAAAATCCATCCATGCAACAGAGAATTGAGAATTATAAATTTAATGAGAAAAATTGTTTACCTCCACACATCGCTGGCTTTAGAAAATTTGTTACTGTTGATTGCTTCTGGGGCCATCCAGGCAAATGTACCAGCACTAGACATGGCTACAGTTTTGTTGAATTCTCTAGCTAAGCCAAAGTCAGTAATTTTCAGAACTTTGTTTTCAAGATTACCCCACTTAATTGGCTCATTTAACAGAACTGAAAATAAAGCAAAATATCTTAATAAATAGACTTAATTCACATGTGTGAACATGACTACAATATCCACATTAACAAAATATCAAATTCCATTTATAAATTGCAATAGCAACTGTTGAGTAAAAAGACAAAAATCTTTAGGTCACTAAAACATGTAACTTATTGCTGCATAGAATTTTCCTTTGTTACACTAAATAATTACAGTTTCATTTTAGACATATTCCAATCAACACAATACTAATATTTAAAGTGGTTATTGTACATACATTATTATTGTTATCACTTTTCAGTTACTTAAAATGAGTTGCTAACTAGAGCTAAAAGTATATTAAAAAAAGTTTCATATGAAACATGGGTTTATTGACCAATTCTAGTGTTAAAACTTTTGCTGATAATCTCAAATTAAAGACTGTCATGTTGGCAATGCTCATTAGAAACAAAATTTATTTCAGTAGCAAATATTTGATAGGATAATTGGTGAAATTTTTTGTAACAATTAGAAAAATTTGCATAGCACTGCACAAGCAGTTGTCTAAGAGATTGCTTTAGGTATCCAACCTAGAAAGAAAAACTGCTTGAATCATGAAAAAAAAGCCTATTTTTTGTAAAAAAATATTTTGACCCTACAGAGAAGGTGCCGGCATTTTCCACCAATCTCTGTTTCTGTGAAGCTATACATATTAATGTTTACTATAATTACAAATTTACTAAGTGTATCTTCACAAATATTGGCAAGCTTTCAGTGAACATTACGTCTGTTGTACACAAAAAGTTAGCATTTTCCTGAAAATGTATTTCCGATAAATACTTACTTTCTCTAAGAAAACAGATTTCTCAACTAGCACTGCCCTCTATTGGCACAACCTTTCAATGCATGTCATTAGCCTTCCACCTACTGTTTCTGCATATCCACATGCAAGTCATCATGCAGCAGCTCTCCAGCAATAGGAGCGTGACACCACTCCTACTGTAACCAGCACATCTGCACTCATTTATCATTTCGAGATTGGTCAAAAGACCTATACCATATTCATTGGAAGTGGGAAGACTGGGTGGGAAATGTGAGAGAAGGTAAGTATCTACTGGAAATACATTTTCAGTGTTGGAAAAATTCTAACTTCTGATACGATATCTTACCTCTTCTCACAAAATAGATAGAATCCCATATTAAACTGGTGGAGTGTTGATAAAAAATATGGTCCCCCTTTAGGAAGCACACAAAGAGAGACCAGAAAGCTTTGAATCAAGAGAGAAAACACCACACCTTAGCAGGAGACTGCACTACATCTAATCCAGGTATACTCTTCACTCTTTTATAACAGTGTCATGAACATAAAAGGCAGAAACATGAAAGAATCCCAGAACATGTATGACTGATGAATAGGACTCCTGGGTGTCAAGTGGCTAAGGCACAACAGAGCATAGTGGTAGTTTGATCTTATCCAACACCAGGCGGTATCTGTAATGGTACATCAGATCTGCAGTAGGTAGAGGAACATCTACCTCTTCACCTCAAAACAGCAATTGGTAGGGAAAACAAGCTTCCCTACCAAAATCCATCACCACTTGCACGCATTTCCAAACCAACCAACACCAAATCCACCGAGAACTGACATCCAGCAGATGGTAGTAAGGTGGAAAGCCCTGTTGGGATGACGTCTCCAGTCCAAAACCTGGCCATTTGTCACCAAGTCCACTGTAGGAAGAAGGAAACCAGCCAGCATACGTGAGGACTTACTCAGCTGGACCATCTCCAACCAATACCGGACCCAATGGGAGGATGCTAGTGAGGAGGAATGTCTCAGCCTGAGGGGCAAACTGCAATGGAAGTTATATGACATATATATCCAAAACCTGACAGCATCTGCAATTTATCATCAGTTCCATGGTAGAAAGAGCATCATGCCATAGAAAAAAAAAGATTGACCAGAAATATAGACAGAAATACAGGGCAGTGGAACAACCAAAACCAGGCAGCATCTGGAATTGTACATCAGGTCCGTGTTAGGAAGTGCTAAACGCCAGTGATACCTGCAGAATGCCAATGCTCTACTCTCAACTGAGTGGTAAGATTCATCACTCAAGAGGACAGGCCTCCATGGTTTACCACCCCAGTGGCTAGGAACTGGTAAGTGGTAAAGACTCTCATACTCTACTAGAAGAAAGAAAGGGGGACACATTGGAGAGTCCAGAGGACTGCATCACTGAAGAAAGTGCAATGGGTGGCCATAAAATCTTATTTTGAAAAGCAGAACTACTATGTCAATGGAGTCAATGATCCAAATCCAGTTGACATTTGGAATTGTACATCAGGTGTGTGGTAGGAAGAGACTCAATGCCACTGAGCAGCAGAGATGAGTTGCAATCTCTGTCTGCTTTACTCATGTTAGTCTATGAGTTGACGGTCTGGGACAAACATATTTATGAAACAAAATACCACTACAGAGAACTACTAGTAGTCCTACAGAACACCTCATCTCTACAGTGCGCATAACCCAAACACACAAAAGAATTATTTATTATAGGTAACAAAAAATATGGAGACACACAACCAACAGCTGGCAGCATTTGGAATTGTACATCAGGTCTGCAGTAGAAAGGGCCACAATGTAATTGACATCTAACATGGTCGCAGGATAGATAATATGGATTTTCAAAAAAAAAGTATACCTGGTCAGGCACCACAATACAAAAGGAAAAAGGCCCTTGAAAAGTGAAAAAAACTTGAAAAAACAATGACCTGGCACAATACTAAAACACGAAAATTGAAATAAATAGTAAAGAAAAACAAAGTCAGTAGTATAACTAAAAAAAACACTGACGAATATACGAGCAAAAACTAGCACGTCTGTACAGTACCACTGCCAACTGAGAAGTAATTAATGAGTACAGATGTGAAGCGGACACTGGTTATGATAGGAATGGTGTCATGCTCCTACTGGTGGAGAGTTGCTGCATGGTCATTGCATGTGGGTATGGAGAAGTGGGTGGTGGAAGGCTAGTGGCATGCATTGAAAATTTGTGCTGACAGGAAGCAGTGCCAGTCAAGAAAAGATATTTTGTAAGCTGAGGTATGATATTTTTGTATCATTGTATCAGAAATAAGGATGCGCAGTGAAATGAAAATTTGAAAATTATGAAAGAATATGAATATATATTTTTCTTCCTTCAATAAATAATTTGTTTCCACAACATGATTTTATGTTATTCACTACTTTAATTGTTTACCTTCTCATGAAGTTTAATTTTATCAGGAAAACATTTTAAGATTCCCATACACTTACTTACTGTGCACATAAAAATCTGCACTCATTGCTTTGATAAAATTCTCCAATTTCTTTTCCAGAAAGTAAATATTTCACCTTTCAAATATCCATTGTAAAATATAAATAATACATAATTTACTAAAACAGACTGTCTAAAAATAGTTAGAATTGAATTGCTTTTCTAACTAAGATATAACTAGCTTATAATAATTGTTAAATGAATGCTAATTTGCTTACTGACAGGTTAAAAAATCAAGACATCTTGTTAACATATATTGCCACCAATTTCAAAAGGACCATTGCAAGCTTGAAACTGAAAATAAGCTCTTTCAGTTGACAAGCCAAACTATTTTTCTCTATTCTTATCCCAATAGTATCCATGTGTAACTCACGTTGTCGCACGAGTTACTGCAGTTTTATCCTGAACTTCCAATAATCATCTGCCTTTTTTCAAAGTCCACACTGGTGGGTTCAATTAGATTAGAACACCCTTTGACAAGACAAATTATTCTCTTGATCTCTTTCAAAGTGTTAATCTCATTCTAACATATCAAAATGACTCTCGAAATGACTGCTCTGAAAAATACCTCCAGGAGGGCTTCTGCTACTCTCTCTGTCTCTATTTTCACCAGTGTCACATAGTCAACAACTGTCAGAAACAGGCACTAGTAGTCCAATCAAGTCTACAGCTACTCTGCTAAACATCTCTTCCATGAGAGGCATCTCCCCCAATGGCACCTTGGCTACCTTCCCTCTAGGTACTGTCCTTTGGCAGATGTGACATGAGCTGCAAAATCTACTCACATCTCCAATGATTTCTGGCCAATGGAAGTTGCTGGTGATTCTGTTTGCCATCTTCTTTGTTCTTAGGTGTCCTCCCACTACTAGTTCATGAGCCAACTTCATCACTTGAGTTCGGTATTCTGTTGGTACTATGATTTGTTTAACTTCTTTCTATCTAGTTCCTTCAAATTTCTACTACCTGGTATGTTTCCAATCACCAAGTCATATATTGGTGCCTTCATACACATGGCCGCAAGGTCTCCTACATAATATGGAGTATCCACCTTTATTTCTGCTATGGGAAACTTCCTCACTGTCCCATCAATTAGCACACACAGGCATACCTTGCTGTCTGGTCTACACTGCTAAACTACTGCACCCAGTATCTCGTAGAACCTTGCTTTTTTGTCCCCTGTATATCCTTCACTTACTGGCATGATGTGATTTGGTATCACCTCTTGGTGTTTGTCACACACTCCAAGCACTACTGGCACTGTTGATTTTTTTGCTCATTTGAGTCATCAGTCATGTACTGATCAATTATGGAATTGACAATGGTGAATCTGATGTGTTTTCTAGATTCTGTTTCTTCTGGCAGTAGCATCCATGGTGCCAGTTACACTTTTCGTGCTTCTTACAAGTACTATCTTTGTAAATAGCTCCAGCTGCTTTATGTTGAGATTTCCACTGCTGCTTGCTGGCAATTGGCTTGCACTCCATTGCAATACTTCCCTTTTTATAACAAACATAGCATCTCTTCTCCATTTTTTCTATCAACCTCCTGTTACCTTTGGTAGACTCTTGCTTCTGGTCAGCCATTACTGATTTCAGATTTTACTGGATATTTTTGAACTTGCCAGTTATACTCCCTCCATGGGCTTCCATACACTGTTCTGTCAGCTAGATCATCTCCTTCAAATCTTTTGGTGCTCTTTCCTTTAGGAACAGCAA